TATTAAGAAAATGTTCTGCATCCTACTTTGGTGAGTGGCGTCTGGGGTCTTAAAAGCTAGCTAGTGGTCATCTAAGATGCACCAATTGGACCCAACCCACCTGGAGCAAAGGAGAATGAAGAACACCAAAGGCATAAGGAAAATATTACCCCAAGAGAGAGAAAGAGCCACATAACCAGAGACTCCATCAGCTTGAGACCAGAAGAACTAGATGTTGCCTGGCTACCACCAATGACCACCCTAACAGGAAACACAAAGAAAGTCCCTGATGGAGCAGGAGAACAGTGGGGTGCAGAACTGAAATTCTAGTAAAAAGACCAGACTTATTGTTCTGACTGAGACTGGAGGGACCCTGGAAGACATGGCCCCCAGACTCTGTTAGCCCAGAACTGAAACCATTCCTGTAGCCAACTCTTCAGACATAGATTAGACTGGACTATAAGACATAAAATGATACTCGTGAAGAGAGTGCATCTTAGTTCAAGTAGATACATGAGACTAAATCGGCAGCTCCTGTCTGGAAGCGAGATGAGAAGACAAAAAGGGACAGGAGCTGGTTGAATGGACACGGGAAACTTGGGGTAGAAAGGAAGAGTGTGCTGTTACATTATAGGAAGAGCAACCAGGGTCACATAACAATATGTGTATAAATTTTTTCTATGCGAAACTAACCTGAACTGTAAACTTTCACTTAAAGCACAGTATATATATATATATATATTCTTTGAAAGGGTTCTCTCTTATTTTCTATTATTTCCTGTTATGTTTTAGCTAGAAATATTTTGCCTGGCAGACAATATTCACTTATTTTACAAAATAATGCAAATTTTTAAAACTTTGCTAAGAGAAGACAGAGTAGGAGTGAATGTGGATTTTTACCTAAATTTACAGTAAAATCACAACCATATTCACAATTAAAAAGGAAGAAAGAAAAAGACTAAGAGGAATGAGAAGCTCTGTTGGCAACTACTTAGACAATAAAATATATTGTATATAGACATAAATAACTAAGCTTTCTATATGATTATTGTGAAAAAGAGCCAGTTACAAGTGTCATAGGTAAGATAATTTGCAACAAACTCAAGTTAATTTTAAAAAGTATTTAAAAAACCACCTAAAACAGGTGTTGTAAATCTTTTTTTTCAAACAAAAATAAACATATAAGAGGGAAAAGATAAACACCTAAAGAAATAAATTGAAGCACAGAAAAAAGCAATACTTTTTTTTTTTTTTAAGAAAGGGTAGAGCCATTCATTCATCAATCAATAATTACTAAGGGCCTACTACATGCCAGGCATTGTTCTATGTGCTAGGGTATCAACAATGAAGGAGACAAAAATCTCTACCCAATCTATACAAACCAACAGCCAACATCATTCCTAATGGAGAGAGGCTGAAAACATTCCCCTTGAGAACAGGAACAAGACAAGGATGTCCTTTATCACCACTCCTATTTAACATTCTGCTGGAAGTCCTAGCTAGAGCAGTAAGGCAAGAAAAAGAAATTAAAGGCATCCAAATTGGTAATGAAGAAGTAAAACTGTCCCTATTTGCAGATGATATACTATACATGAAAAATCCAAAAGACTCCACGAGAAAACTATCAGAAGTAATAGAAAGATTCAGCAGAGTAGCAGGATACAAGATAAACATACAAAAATCAGTTGGATTCCTATACGCCAACAAAGAAAATCATGAAAAGGAAATCAGGAAAACAATACGATTTATAATAGCCCCTCAATAAATAAAACACTTAGGAATAAATCTAACCAGGGATATAAAAGACCTATACAAAGAAAACTACAAAGCACTACCGCAAGAAATCCAAACAGATCTACATAAGTGGAAAAACATACCATGCTCATGGATAGGCAGACTCAACATTGTGAAAATTACAATTCTACCCAAAGCAATCTACAAACACAATGCAATCCTGATCCAAATACCAACAACACTGTTTAAAGAGATGGAAAAACACAATCACTAACTTTATATGGAAAGGGAAGAGGCCCCGGATAAGTAAAGCCTTATTGAAGAAGAAGAAAGTAGGAAGACTCACATTACCTGACCTCAGAACCTACTATACAGCTATGGCAGTCAAAACAGCCTGGTACTGGTACAACGACAGATACATTGACCAATGGAACAGAATCGAGAACCCATATGTAAATCCATCCACCTATGGTCACCTGATCTTCAACAAGAGCCTAAAGTCCATCAAATGGGGAAAAGACAGTCTTTTTAACAAACAGTGCTGGCAAAACTGGATGTCCATCTGCAAAAAAATGAAACAGTACCCATACCTCACACCATACACAAAAACTAATTCAGAATGGATAAAGACCTAAATATAAAACCAAAAACTATAAAGATCATAGAAGAAAAAATAGGATCAATGCTAGAGACCCTAATACATGGCATTAACAGGATACAAACCATAACTAACAACATACAAACTCCAAAAGATAAGCTAGATAACTGGGATCTTCTAAAAATTAAACACTTATGCTTATCAAAAGACTTCACCAAAAGAGTAAAAAGAGAACCTACAGACTGGGAATAAATTTTTGGCTTTTACAAATCCGGCAAAAGTGTTATCTCTAAAATCTACCGGAAGATCCAACTCTCTACAACAAAAAGACAAATAATCCAATTAAAAAATGGGCAAAGGAAATGAACAGACACTTCACCAAAGAAGACATTTAAGCGGCTAACAGACATATGAGGAAATGCTCGTGATCACTAGCCATTAGAGAAGGGCAAATCAAAACCACAGTGAGATACCATTTCACCCCAGCATTAGTGGCATGAATCAAAAAAACAGAAAATAACAAATTTTGGAAAGGTTGCAGGGAGATCGGAACTCTTATGCACTGATAGTGGGAATGCAAAATGGTACAACCATTTTGGGAAATGCTTCCTCAGAAATCTAGAAATAGAAATACCATATGATCCAGCAATCCTGCACCTAGGAATATATCCTAGAGAAATAAGAACCGTCACACAAATAGACATATGCACACCCATGTTCACTGCAGCATTGTTCACAATAGCAAGAAGATGGAAACAACCCAGATGTCCATCAACAGATGAATGGGTAAACAAACTATCGTACACAAACTATGGTACATACACACAACAGAATACTACACAACGATAAAGAACAATGCTGAATCTGTGAAGCATCTCACAACATGGATGAATCTGGAGGGTGTAATGCTGAGTGAATTAAGTCAATCACAAAAGGGCAAATATTGTATGATTCCACTACTATAAAAACTCATGAAAAGGTTTACAAGCAAAAAGAAACAATCTTTGGTGGTTACAAGGAAGGGAAAGGGTAGGAGGGGAAAACACTAAATATACAATAGATAAGTGGTAACTTTGGTGAAGGGTAAGACAGTATACAATACTGCAGAAGCCAGCACAACTTGTTCAGGGTAAGGTCATGGACGCTCCATGGACACATCCAAATTCCCTTAGGGACCAAATTACTGGGCTGAGGGCTGTGGGGACCATGGTCTCAAGGAACATCTAGCTCAATTGGCATACCATAGTTTATAAAGAAAACGTTCTACATTCTACTTGGTGAGTAGTGTCTGGGGTCTTAAAAGCCTGTGAGCAGCCATCTAAGATACTCCATTGGTCTCACCCCTTCAGGAGCAAGGGATAATGAAGAAAACTAAAGACACAAGGGAAAGATTAGTCCAAAGGACTAATAGACCAGAACTACCACAGACTCCACCAGACTGAATCAAGTACAACTAGATGGTGTCCGGCTTACCACCACTGACTGCTCTGACGGGGATCACAATAGAGGGTCCCAGATAGAGCTGGAGAAAAATGTAAAACAAAATTTTAACTCAAAAAAAAGACCACACCTACTGGCCTAACAGAGACTGGAGAAACCCCGAGAGTATGGCCCCCAGACACCCTTTTAGCTCAGTAATGAAGTCACTCCGGAGGTTCACCTTTTAGCCAAAGATTAGACAGACCCATAGGACAAAACAAGACTAAAGGGGCACACCAGCTCAGGGGCAAGGACTAGAAGAAGGCAGGAGGGGACAGGAAAGCTGGTAATAGGGAAATCAAGGTCAAGAAGGGGGAGTACTGACATGTCATGGGGTTGTTAACCAACGTCATAAAACAATACATGTACTAACTGTTTAATGAGAAGCTAGTTTGTTCTGTAAACCTTCATCTAAAGTACA